GTGTTCTTGGCACGGCAAGAACATCACAATCGGAGCCGGTGTACCTGTTGCTAAGGCGCAGCAACCTTGTGGTCGTTGTAGTCGGACAGCCAACATCGAATCCACCCCAAATCGAGTTTATCCACACTCACCAAAAGATCAGGAACAACCCCTTGTCCCATCACTTGTACTGCAGGTGAAAAAAACAGAAAAAGGGGTAAAAGAATCAGAAAAAGAAATGAAGCAAGAAAGATAGAAGAAAGGGTTTCAACAGTTATTATTTTCCACTTTGCTTGTGTTGTGTTGTTGGTGTCCGGTGGCTACGTTTGTGTCTAGGCTCGTGTCTCTAGAACGGTTCAACCTAGTACCAGCACAATATTATCGTTGAATGATTATTCAATTTGTTTTGGCTAACGTGGTTCCAGCTGTCCCTTGAATTTGTTTCCAGCCACCTATAGCTCCATAAATTTATCTACAACATCACAGGTTTACATTCGCTGCCACAATTGTTGTTGTTCTTGCCGGCTGACAACACCTCCTGCAAGTGTGGTAAGAACAAGTAAGAACTTGATTAAGCAAGTTTGAGAGGAATGGAATCAGCCATTACTTAGTTTTCTTTTGTTATTCGAGCACCTTCTTGTGTTATTGCTGCTGTTCACTAACCATGTCAGGAAATGGTAAGGATGAGCAGGGGCAACATGCACACTCACCACGCACAAGGGGCATCATACATGACTTCGAGCGCCGTATGAGGTTACGCGCTGAAGGCCTCGAAGAGGACGTTCGTGTTACCAATGAGCGCCTTGGGCAATTAGAGGCAACTCAAATTGGCACCAACCAAAGGCTTGCTGCGATGGAGGTTTCCATTGGAGAAGTGAACACTTCTCTTGCTGCTATTTTGGCCAGACTTGAGAGAATGCAAGACGGAGGACGTAACCATGCACATCAACACCACCACAATGATGGTAGTGTGGGCAGTGTTTCAGCAGAGAATGATGATGTCTATGCAGGAGACACCGAGCATGATGATGAGGTGGATGCTCAACCCCGTCGTCAACTGCACCGTAATCGCCGTGGAATGGGTGCTAGGCCGCCACGCCGAGAGGTACGTGACAATGATGATTCTTTCGGTAAAATTAAGTTCACCATGCCATCTTTTGATGGGAAATATGATCCTGATGCATACCTTACATGGGAACTAGCTGCTGATCAGAAGTTTGCTTGTCATGATTTCCCTGAAAATAAACAGGCTAGGGCTGCAACTAGTGAGTTTACTGATTTTGCTTCTATTTGGTGGAGTGAGTATTGCCGCACTAAACCAAACAATACTCCTCAGACCTGGGATGCTTTGAAAAGGGTCATGGGAGCAAGATTTGTTCCTTCATATCATGCACGTGATTTGTTACATAGGTTGCAGCAATTTAGGCAAGGGAATAAATCTGTAGAGGAATATTATTAGGAATTGCAAACTGGTATGCTTTGTTGTGGTTTGGTAGAAACCGAGGATGCAGCAATGGCTAGATTTGTAGGTGGTTTGAACCGAGAAATTCAGGACATTTTAGCTTATAAGGAATATAATTCAGTCTATCGTTTATTTCATCTTGCTTGTAAGGCTGAACGGGAAGTGCAAGGACGTCGAGCTAGCACGAGGACTAACTTTTCTGCAGGTCGTGCTAACTCTTGGACACCAAAACCTGCTACTGCACCGTCGACACGAGTAGTTGCTCCATCTCCTTCAAACAACAAACAACACCCTTCTCCATCAAATTCATCAGCGTGCCCGGCTGAACCAACAAATGGAATAGCAGCTCCAACAGCCAAGAGTTCTTCTTCCATTGCTTCTACGGAAAGAACAAGAGATATTCAGTGCTTGCAATGCATGGGTTATGGACATGTGAGATGGGACAGCCCAAGAAAGCGCGTTCTGATCGTGCGACATGATGGTCAATATTCCTCTGCTAGTGATTTGGATGACGAAACATATGCTTTGCTTGCCGCTGACCATGGGAGTGTTCGGCTAGTCATTTTCGGCTGGCTGGCTCGCCTTTTTTTCCAGCCGAAGCAGTATTTTTCTCTCACACAATTTCAACATGAACAGTAAAATCCAGCGTGAACAGTGTCCATTTCAGTCCAACCGAACACTCCCCATGCAGGTGGAGATGAGAATCTAGTTGAAGAACACATTGGAGCTGAACATGCAGATCGTTATGAGTGCCTCATTGTGCAACGAGTGTTGAGTGCACAAATGGAGAAGGCTGAACAGAATCAGTGCCACACCTTGTTCCAAACAAAGTGTGTGGTACAGGAGCGTTCATGTTGTGTGATCATTGATGGAGGGAGCTGTAACAACTTGGCAAGCTTAGAGATGGTGGAGAAGCTGGATTTAGATACCCGACCGCACCCCCAACCTTACAACATTTAGTGGTTCAACAACAGCGGCAATGTAAAGGTAACATGGTTGGTACGAGTCAATTTTGCAATCGGCTCTTATCATGATTCCATTGACTGTGATGTTGTACCTATGCAAGCATGTTCTATGTTGTTAGGTAGACCATGACAGTTTGATACAGACTCTATGCATCATGGTAGAACCAATCAATATTCTTTTGTGCATAATGGAAAGAAGTTTGTGTTACATCCTATGTCTCCTTAGGATATTATGAAAGATGAAATTGCTAGAGCTAGAAAGTTGAACACTAAGGAGCATGTTAAGAGTGAAAATCAGATTGTGGCTAAGAAACTTGAGCAACATAAAAAGAGAAACACTAAATATGTTCATGATAAGAAAAAATGAGATTAAGTTGAAGGGTTCCTGTTTTCTTGCTACCAAATCTGATCTGAAAGAGATTGATACTTGCACTACTATATGCTATGCTTTGGTTTGCAAAGAAACTTTATTTTCACTTGAGGATACTCCTATTTCTTTGTCTCCTGCTGTCACTAATCTTTTGCAGGAGTACGCCGATATTTTCCCAAAGGAGGTACCACCGAGACTGCCACCAATTCGGGGAATTGAGCACCAGATTGACCTCATTCCTGGGGCCTCCTTGCCAAATCATGCTCACCGTGCGAAGCCATTTCCGGACTCGTCCGTGACAATGGGAGATGCGCACCGGCAAGCGATCACGCCTAGACGGAGTGGGGGGGGGGGGAACCGTTCCCGGACTCACCCGCGACGATGGGAGGCGCGCACCAGCAAGACACCCACGGGCGCGTAGCCCCGCCGGCGGCAAGACCGCGGTCAAACTGCGCGCACCGCACCATTGCTAAGCCCCTGCAAAACGAGAGCGAAGAAGAAAGCGGGCACGTTGCCCCACCACTGGCACGTCCATGGCAGAACTGCGTGCCCCGCTCCGCTGCAGGTCCATCCCTGCTCCACCGGCAGCGGCCATCTCCGAGACCACGACCACTAGCCCAAGGGCAGCGCCAGCTTGCACTCCACGCGGATCCGGGCGAGGCTGAAGCCGGGGAGCTCCCACGCGCACCAGGGGGGCAGCAGGCGCGTGAAGCCGCCGGCCCAGCCGTTCCATGAGCGGCCACCATACGTCCCCGGCCGCCAGCCCAAGCTGGTGCGCGTAGCTGCCGCCCCTGATTGACCACAAGCAGGTAAGCAAATTCTCTGATCGGAAGTTGGAATAGTGGAGATGATTGCAAATCATGTGCAGAATTATATATTTTATTTCACACCTTTTCTTGAAAAAAAATTGCTTAGAGAAGCAGCAGCAGCCTGAAGCTAACTGGTACAGTAACAGGAGATATACGCCAGAATGCTCGCCAACCTATGTGCATAAAGATATGGCAAAATCAAAAGCCAGTCCATTTGATCACCAAGATAATTACTGCTGCTGCCCTCAAACAGATTCCAGCTCTGTTCTGCCCCCATTCACCTCCAACTCGATAATGCAGATACAGAACTAGAGGTTCTTTTTCACCACACCCCAAGGGAATTCGATCCGCAGAAATGTCATGATAAACCCTCATGCAGTTCTAATTCACAATGTGATTCGATTGACCTACAAGATGTAGGGCACATTGATAACATCAGCAAGGAGCAAGAGATCATTAAGGCAAACTTCGGGGCGGTCAACACCTACTGCCGCTTCAAATAATGGCCTATTTTGATAAAGCCAAGTGCTGGCTACCTAAAAATTAATCAAAATTAGCTCTAATGCATGAGCTTATAGACGTACTAATTTTTAAGCCAAGTCTTTAACTAGTTGTTAGCCAACTAGCTAACCAACCATGGCTAATTTAAGCTAATTTTTAGCCATAACTAGTAACTAGGCATATGCATCTAGATATACCCTTACATGGCATCCAAACACAGCCTCAAGGTTGGAAGGAGTTCCGCAGGGACAACAACATGATTGAAGGCGACCAGTGCACCATCCACGTTGTCAAAAGAACTTGTCAAAAGAACTCTCTAGCATGCCGAAGGCGCGACACCATCAACGTTGTCGAAAGAACATCAACGTTATCGAAAGAACTATCTGGCATGCCAGTATCAGGTCAAAGAAACTCTGCTATTCTTCACACATTCTTGGTTCTATATTGTTACTCAATGCTCCCTCCTAGTCGGTTATTAGTTTCTTATCTTGTGCTACACTATATGAAATGTTAGATTCTGCTGAAACATCATGTGCACAGTCATCTAGATGTCAGGTAATGCTCGATGAAATGAGATGCAATCAAATGGCTATAATAGGAATGCCCTGGATTGGACAACATTAATCTACCATGCTGCTAGCTAACGAGAACACAATGCATATACTGGATAACTGAAGCAAAAATTAAGGAAGCACAGTTTAAGGCCCAAGCAGCTAATTATAAAAGAGCAGGTCTACACTCCACAGCGCTTATTAAACATCTCAGATATTCCCCACGAATTAACACTCGGTTGCAGCAGAGCATGCAGAGCCAAAAAGCTTCAGTCCAGATAGACAACTATACTAGATAGGATGGGGCATGATCTTGAGCGGACTAGCACATAAACATAGCACAGGCACAGTTCAGAGCATCAATCACTTTTGTGCCTCTGCCTTCTGCTTCTTGGCCTTGGCAGCCTTCCAGGCAGAGTTGTGAGAAACAGTCTCCTCAACAACCTTGAGTGGTGCAAAGCTGAAATCTGAAGCAGATAAGCGGTTTTTGTATGCCTCCAGAAACTTATCCATATCACCAGCACACCTTGCACGCTTCCCATTGGGCATGACATAATATGTATCTATTTTGCTGTAGTCACTCATAATCACTAACCTCTCCGTCCCTGGTGGAGGCTTTTTTTTTATTGCCTCTCATCTATATACAGTTGTAGCATCTGTTCGTACACACGCACGTTCACTCAACACACGCACACCACCCGTGTACAAACAAACCTATAGCTACACTAAGTCCTCTGATTTCGTAGGCGACGAACACGTCACGGTCCCATTGTAGCATCACGCGTGAGAGACAGACGCTTGGAAATTATTTGCTTGCACGAAGCAAGCGGTGCAGAACCGGGGTTCGAACCCCGGCCGGCCAGCTCCCACCACCGGAGCTTTGCCACCGCGCTACACGCGCGTCCGCCCTGGTGGAGGCTTTTGTATGTTGGGATTGTCCAAAACCCAGATGCGGCTGCTGTCATATTCAATGTCAGCAACATCTTCACAAGAGCAGTCTGGTCGTCTGCTGCAGAACCATGGATCCTTAGTGAAGTTCTCACGAAGTGTCTCAAATTCTTCTTTTGGAACCGTACTCCATTTGTAGCACTTATAGCATTGCACTGCATACAAGGCAACAGAATCTTTGGTAGAACCCCGTTTTCTCTGTCAAATAAAATGGGTCTTTGTTATTTTCTTTATTTATGGAAAGACAAAAGAAAATCTAACTCTAATCAGCAAAAATTATGACAAAAAGAACAAATGTGAGAGGGATGTTTGCATGACAAAGCAGAATAATGGAAAATCTTTACAACAACCACAGTGAAAATGAAAGCTGCCATACAAATATATAATACTACAATAGACCATTTCTGTACCACAGGATAATGAAACTTGCTAATATTCCATTGCACAAAATGGCTTTAGCTTAACTCCATCTTATGCTGCACAGTGTTTATAGCAACCTTTTGCATATAGTTGCACAGAAGTCAATATTCCATTGCATACAAGAAACTGTGGCAAAAGATCTAGCCAGGAATTATGTCGATCAAGGAAAGAAGCGCTGGAGAAAATATGGACTACTAAAGAAAATATGCAATACAAGATCTGGGGGCTGCTGTGGAGATGGAGGTCAGCCCGCAATAAGGCTAATGCAGGAGGGAGAATGGCTAGTATTGCAGAAGTCTGTAGCTCAACAGAATATTATTTGATGTTTTTTGCTAGACCGAATGAATCTGTTTACACCAAAATCCACGAAGAAGAATGTGGGAGTTCGAAGCTTTCAGGATTGTGTCATCAAGAAATCGATTAGATGCGAATTGGTATCGGCTGATTTAAATGCGATGTCAGAATCAGCTATTTTATAGATGACGACAGCAGAGGGCGTCAATGGGCTATAATAGCGTCAGCAAGATGTGTCGGACTCTACAAATAAGAAAAATTAGGGTCCAAGTTATTATTAAGTTAGAAAGTTTTCTTTTATTCCAAAAATTATAATGAGTCGTATTTGAGTAGGATTCATATTTAAGTTTCGGGTATAAATATTAGCCCCTGGTTATTGTAAAAAAACAAACACTCAATCAATACATTCTTTTCGGCTTTCGTCGTTGCATTAGGAGTAGGAGTACTGTAGTTCTCGGCGAGTTCTTCAGCAAACAGGGTTGCATCGACTGATCGACCTCTAGCTTGCTTGTGAGTATCGCCACGACTTATATTATGCTTGTAAAGCTGCATCAGCTGATTGATTTTTTATGAGCCACAATATAAGTTAGTTATCTATCTGTATCGTAGTTTGTAAGGCTGTATCAGCTGATTGATCTCTTATGAATTATAATATAGATCAAAGTTATCGATTTTATGTTAAATAACTTGTTGTTTAATACAATATCACCATTTATCGAATCTGCTAAGATTAGTAAGATTTTTCTTGTTGTTTTTGGTTGATTCACGGTTATTGATCTTGTTATAATTAATATTTTATTAATTATAATAAATCACCTGATTGAGATAGAGATTGATCAGCATCATATCATCTTAATTGGTCGTCTTCTAGTCTGGTCACGCTTTAAATCTTATGATTGATGGCTTATTCAGCTAGATCGGCTGTTCTATCTCTATTCTAACCAAACATAGTATGCATACAAAGACATATTTTAATCTTGAATAAATTCACTAGTTAATGAGATCTAATCTAATGACACTACCATAGTTGCATCGATCTGGTCGAACCTCACTGGTAAGACTCTAGATCAGAAATTATCGATTAGTGGTCTTGTTCATGATTAAAATATGTATTCTGTTTGTTTACTATGACTGCATTGGCTATTTTAGCCGATTTACCTATATTCTCACGCATATAGCATGTTTTCATGAATCTATCAACATATAGATGGTTTATAGATTCATTGGCTTTAGTTTGTCATCATTATCACAGCTGCATCGATTCGATCGAACCTCACTGTTGATGACAATAGATTAGATTCAAACTGTTGGTAGATTCATTTATATTAGAAAGTCAATCTGTTCGCATGTTATACTTTTTTCATCAAACTTATTGGTTCGACGCTTTATATCGATTATGTTTCATTTAGCCGATGATCTTTTCTCATATCGCTTTATTACCGGATATCGACTATTTAGTCGATAGCCTTATTGAATCGGCTATCTAGTCGTATAGTTGGAACTGTCTGGAAGCAACACCGACATGTTCCACCTTAAATTACTGATAAGATTTTCTCTTCTTGTCAATTACATATCAAATTGACTGGCACGTCGTTGGGTTTCAGAATCGACTGGTTCTATGTTGAAGCCAAGCAGATCTCTGGTCTCGTTCCGCTCAGATCTTTCGGCTTGCTGTGTGTTGATCACATCGCCACATTTTTGTGTCAACACACTTTTTGGCACGCCTGATGGGACCACAATCGTCATGGCGATTCATAGCAACAAGGACATTCTTATGGTACCTTATGAAGACTTACCAGATGAAGATAAAGATGTCATTGGTAAGGCTATAGAGGAGTTTCAGAACAAGTGCTTGTTGTCAAACACCAAAACACGTGACAATAAAATTATTTAGAAATATCCACTGCTAAGAGTTTTGATGCATGGACAGTCAGATACAGACGAAGCTGATGATAGATGTTTCTTTGTAGAAGCTGTCAATAAATCTGTTTATGATGCAATGCTGAATCATAATACAACTTTCTTGAATACATTCCACAAGACCATGAAGGAGGTGTTTTATGGATTTCCACTTGATCAGGTTGGACCGGCTTATTACAATATTCCGCATTCGTCGACTCAGAGGACTAATCAAGCCGGTACTAGCCATCAAGAAGCAGCACTAGCTAAGAGTGATGATGCCCATGCAATTCAGAATTCATCTGAGCAAATTCAGAGTGCTACTACTAATCAAATGCAATATAATCCTAGATCATTAGTGCAGCATGTGCAACAGCCGACAAGGCAAGTTCAGAATCAGATGGTTAATTTTGGTACGTCAGGCCAAATACTACCGTCGGCTCAAAAAATAACACCATCAGTTCAAAGGATTCATAGAGATACAAATCTTAATGTCTTCAATCAGATATTTCAAATAGTAAATCAGCAAGGAGCCCGACAGATAGATATTCCATAAGGATATCATTATGGTTCAGATTATAATACCCTAAATATGATTCCAAATCCAGGATATCAAGGCATTTAGAATTTTAATCTGTAGATGGGTCAGCAATTGTCAAGAAATCCAAACTCAAATGCTGATGAATTGTTGCTCAGAGTAACCAAAATGATGAAAAATCAGTTTGGTTTAAAACCAAAAGAGCAAACCTTTTCGTACAAACGTCCATATATAGAGTGTCATGATTTGGTGGCCCTTCCTACAAACTACAGGCTTCCAGAATTTGCTAAGTTCACTAGTCAAGATAGTACAAGTGTAATAAAACATGTCAGTCGATATCTTATTCAGTTGGGTGAAGCCTCTGTTGAAGAAACGCATCGAGTTCATTTCTTCTCTTTGTTCCTGTTAGGACCAGCTTTCACTTGGTTTTCATCACTAGCGGTTAATTTTATTGCCAATTGGAGTGATCTTGAAAAGAAATGTTATACATATTTCTATATTAGGATAGGGGAAAGAAAGATCATAGATTTGACAATTATAAAGCAAAGAGCTAATAAATCGGGTGCTGAGTTCCTTCAGAGGTTTCGAGAAACAAGAAACTTATGCTTTTCGATGAATTTGACTGATGATCAGCTAGCTGCGTTGGCCGTTCAAAGAATATTGCCAACATGGAGAGAAAAGCTATTTGGGTAAGAATTTGACAATTTAGGTCAATTGGCTTAACGGGTGGCAGCACTTAATAGCCAATTTTAGAATATGCGTAGAGATACCCGATTCCAGAAGAATGCTGCAATCGCTGAAGCTTATAATCCATATTTAGTCGATGATGATGATGAAGAAGAGGAAATTGCCGTAGCTGAATGAAATTGGGGTAAAAAGATAGTAATGGTTCTAAATCCTTGGGGAAAAGAAGTTGAAAAAAGTTATGATTTTGATGTTACAAAAGTAGACAAACTTTTTGATTTCTTGCTTGAGAAGGGACATATTAAACTGCCTGTCAATCATGTTATATTACCTCCCTATTAGTTAAAGAATAAGAAGTTCTGCAAGTACCATAACACTACTTCTCATACTACTAATGATTACATGATTTTTCGGTAGCATATTCAGAGGGCTATTCAACAAGGGAAGCTTTAATTTGATACAATTCAAAAAATGAATGTCAATGATAATCCTTTCCCAAAGGATCAGAACATGGTTGATGCTAAGTTGTTTAAAGGGAAAACTAAAGTTTTGACATTAGCTAGGGTAAGAGAAACAAGAACAGTTGATCCAGAGATATAAATATCTGCTGATGAATATAGAGAAATTAAAAGGCGTCGTGACCAACAAAAGAGCCGATATAAGTAGGGAGAAACGTCGAGAGGTGGTGCGATGAGACCACGTATTACATCTCGAATTCTGTTGAATAAATGGCAATGGCAGAAGGAGAAAGATTATCATCGCTGGTTAGAAGAGAAGGAATATCAACATCAATAAGAAGAAG